CAAAAAAGGCCAAACCTAGTTTTTATTTTTGTACTTTCTCATTACTTATTCAGATTGTATTTATTCACTTGCTTAATGTAGATATTATTCAAAATGTTGACCTTTTGCAGCAATGCAAGCATTACATCTATGCAAGCATCTAGAATTGCATCTACGAACAGCTCGTGTTGCAGTCAAACACTGATCTGATGATATTAGGTGCACCGCAGCCTCGATTTGATTTCTCAATTGTTTCTCAATTTCTGTAGAGTTAATTGACGATGAATAAACTTCCTGCTTCAGGATTCAAAGAAATCCAATGGTGTCGAATCATTTGATCGGGATGACCAAGATACTACTCCTCCACGCCTAATCCACCGTCGTGGATAATATCTGTCTAGCCAAGCTCGAGTAGTTCTGCCATAATGATCTGGATAACTATCGAGTTAAAACTACATTTCAATCCGTTGCTGCAAATGGATGTCTTCTAAATAATCAAAGAAGTCAGTCTCCAAAAATCTGAAAATCTGATTGAATTTAATCTGTCGGATAAAAAAAAACGATCCTACTAGAGAGTCATTCCAAATTCCGAACCAAACGTTAACAGCAAATTCATGCTGGAAACTTTCCCTAACAAACTATCGAGGCCTATAGTCTAAAGGATTAGGACGCTTGTACGGAATACAAGAGATCCATGTTCGACTCCCGGCCGAGGTAATATTTTTCGCAATAAATATATTTAAAGTTTTTCAACATATCTTTTTAATAGGATCTTGTTAATAGGATCAGCACATCTTTTTAATAGGATGCCTGATTGAACATAGAATTATTAAAATTGATTGTCAATTTAATTCGTGATATTACTACAGTAGTTTAATTGCGTTTATAAGATCAAAATATCAATTCGGCGCGCAGTTCAAATGTCTACAAATATGGTATACGGGGTAAGTATAAAGTCCCGGACCGGTGAAATATTTCAAAGACTAAGCATTTCCGAAAGAAATGTTTCCTACAAAAATTGTAGGGTTTTAAATTACCTATTCACCGTCATTCTGACCTCGGGTGGTCGTCAAGGTTAGATCTAGGTTACATCGATTTTTTTAATTGGCACATCCTGTTTTTTATTCCAGATTCTAATAAATGGTGTCAAAAGCTTTTCAAAACATTAATAAAGTTATTTTTCATTAAGTACTTTTCGAGTTATGAGACTTGAAAGTTACAGTACCGCCGGCATTAGCATTACGCAAGGTGTCCGACCGACAGCTAAAACCTCTTGAATGTCATTCAGGATCATGTCCTGGATATCATTTGTCAAGATCAAAACCATTGAAGGTTGTACCTCTTATTTTCATTTTTACGTAAAAATGAAAATAAGAGGTACAACCTTCAATGGTTTTGATCTTGACAAATGTTATGTTCAAGACATAATACTGAACAATATTCAATAGGTTTTAGTCGTCGGTCGGACACCCTGTGTAATGCTAATGCCGATGGTACTGTAACTTTCGAGCCTTATAATTCCAAAAGTACTCAATAAAAAATAACTTATTTATTATAGTATTTTGGAAAGTTCTCGATATCGATTATTAGAATCAAAAGTAGGGTGTTCTATTTAAAAAATCGATATGGCCTTGACCTTGGCGACGCCAAGGTTAGACTGACCAGATCGGTGAATAGATCATTTAAAATCCTACAACTTTTGTAGACAACATTTCTTTCGGAAATACTTACTTTTCGAGATATTTCACTGGTCCGAGACTTTTTACTCACTCTGTATGTGCAATTACATACATACATAGATCGTCTGAAAAGTTTTGAGCCTCAACATGAAGATGGCATTACTCGTCAAAACAATTTTGGTACTATAATCGTACGTACTTTGAAAGATACCTGCGAAAATTGTAGCTACTTC